AGTCCCAGCAGCGGAGGTGGGTGCCACAGCCAGCAGAGCCTGCACCAGTCCAGGGAGCAGGGCAGAGCCTTGCCCAAACATCCTGCTGGGCACGGTGTGGGGGAAACGGCTCCTTCCCTCAGGCTCCTTCCCGCTTCGGCACCTGTCCATGGGAGCCTGGCACCAGCACCGGAGGATCACAGCCTTCCGTCACCCCACAGCTGGGGGGGCCGTGCCCAAAGCCACATGCGTCGGCGCTGTGGGGTAGGAGCAGCCGCGGCCTCATCGGGGCTCCCCCAGCCCTCCTCCGGCTCCCGCCTCTCCTCCCCTGTGCTTTCTTTTGGGTACCCAGCCCCAGCAGGGTGATTAATGCCTCGTGTTACACCGCCAGCGGAAACAAGAGTCTGCTTTTTCCCATCCCCTGGTGAAAAGAACGTTGCCATGGAAATTGGCGACTGCATCACTTCTCTTCCTCCCTCGCCGCTTTTTTCCCCCCTGTAGAGCGTTTACGATGGGTTTTTTTCTGAAACAACAGATGTGTCAGAAGAAACCCAAACCAGCGGGGTAATCACAAGATCCAGCCATCAGCCATGTTAGGCGACATTGAAATGACCTTGTGGGCTGGCGCAGCGCAGCTCCCGTGCCCGCAGCCCCCAGCTGCTCTCTGCCACCGCCGGGGACGAGGAGGCCATACAGCACCAAGGCCAATGCAGCTCCCTCCATCACAGCCCCAACCTGCCCTGCCCCGGGGCCGGCACTTGGCCAGGGCTCGCGCCCGCTCGGGATTCAAGCTGGGACCTTCCCAAGCAGCCCCAGGCACGGTGCAGCCCACTCTCCATGAGGTCGGATGCCCCGGTGCATGGCGTAACAGATACGGATGCTTTCTGCTCCAAATTCCTCCTCCATTGCCATGACAGATTCTCCCCCGGGAGGGATCCGCCACTTCTGGCCCGAGACCCGTCCATCCCTGCCTGCAAAGGCAGCGAGGCGGGCAGGTGGAGGGTGGGAAGCGGGGTCAGGATCCAGCCCCGACCCGCGGCGCAGTGCTGCTGGGAGGCCCCTCGCTGTGGGCAGGAGCCCAGCTCCAGCACCAAAGAGGGGCCAGGCGCTGGCTCCCTGCCCGCCTGCCCACTGGAGGCAGCGTGACTCGGATGCTCCAGATGCCTCCTGCATCCCGCGCAGACTAATTACCAAAGCCAGAGCTGCTCCCTCAGGAGAAAGGTCTGGGAAGTGACATCCCCATAGCAACTGCCCATCCCGCAGCTGCAAACGGGGACTTGGAGGCCCCTGCTGAGATCCAGACCGAAACATCACCAGGCTTTTCTGGTGTCCCCCCACGGGGGCTGCCCATCCCTGCCAGTGCCTGGTTGGTGGGTGGAGGGCGTGTGAGTGGCCATTGCAAAGAGAAGCGGGTGCAGAGGCCATGCAAGAAGTCGGGTGGAACATCTCTGATGGCTCCTGGGCT